CAAGAAAATTGCATAACAAGGTTATCCTGACACTGAAACTGACCAACTAAGGAGAGGCACTCCTTATCTGATATCTCGAAGGTTTTGGGGGAGTGGATCTTAAGTAATGCTATTTGACCGGGGTTAATTGTCAGTGTGAAAATTGTTATGTGTTTATTTGAATTATTCTTTTAAATATGTTTTATGAAAAAAAGATTATAGAATTAATACACACAACAAAAGCACAATCTGATAGAATAAGACTTCTTAGATTCGCTCGATCTGTATAACATTTTGCGCAAGAGTATACGGCACGGATCTATATGAGTCTAATTTTAGGAACATTAATTTGGAATAAATAATTATTTTTATTAATTCTAAAGTAACATGGAATTAAAGTGAGATGTTGGATAAAGATGTCATTTATTTATTAAAAGCTTATATCTAACATATTTTATAAATATGTAAAAAAAAATGCATTCATCTATTTATTAAATTTAACAAAGATACTAGCTGAACTTGCACAACTCTTTTGAGTAAATCAATTCATAATGCATGTGTTTCATTTCATATTATGTATAATTATATATATATATAATATTTTCTAACAATGCATACAACTGTGTGTATCTTGCGAAAAATCGCATAAATTAAGAGTTAAAGACACCTTTGTATTTTGACCTTAAAAACTAAAATGCTCGATACTCATTGCGCATTTTTTTCCTAACTTTCCTAAAGTTGAAAATATATTAGATCTTCCACGTTGTTTCAACGTTGAAATCAACAAACAATCAACTTTGCATTATAAACCTTGTTTCAATTCTATAATATCAGAAAATACTCAACGTTGAAAACGTGTTGAATCTTCAACGTTGTTTTAACATTGAAATATCAATAAACTTCAAACGTTGAGAATTTGTTGTAGCTTCAACGTTGTTTCAACGTTAAATATCGGCGAGCAATCAACGTTGAAAATATGTTGCAGCTTCAACGTTGTTTCAACGTTGAAATATCAAAGAACATCAAACATTGAGAATATGTTGCAGCTTCGACGTTGTTTCAACGTTGAAATATCGACGAACATTCAACGTTGAAAATATGTTGCAGCTTCAACGTTGTTTCAACGTTGAAATATCGACGAACGTTCAACGTTGAAAATATGTTGCAGCTTCAACGTTGTTTCAACGTTGAAAAAAGGTTGAGGATTCAACGTTGAAACCTCAACGTTGAAACAACGTTGAAATATAGTTGATCAACGTTGCAATCTATATTCCACCTCCTTTCAACGTTGAAACAACGTTGCGTGCCTGCTGGGAGGTGGTCAATATGATCGTTGGATGGAATTAAAAGAGACGCTGCAGCTTAAAACTCATGCCGATGTAGCAGAGTACCTTCTTGATCGGTAAGTAATATAATGTTTATTTCCACAAAAACTGCTTAATAAATCTTGACTTCAGTATAGGTATTTAGAAGTAGAAATGAGTCTTTTATTTTTATCTAAAACTGCAATATTTTAGAGAGAAAATGGGGATTAAGCCGATTAACAAATGTAAACAGTATGTAAACAAACTGGGAAAGTTGATGGGGCCCCCAGGGGGTACGCTTTCTTTGTTTAGCAAATGCTATAGGGATTAACAAAAGATAAACCTGCTGCTTTACTAATTTTGTTTGTGCAATAATAAATATGATGCTATATAAAGTATTTTAGATAAAATTGCTGACACTACATTGAAATTAATTAAGAATAATGAACCAATATGAACATAAATGTCTATATAGGAATGAAACCTTGACGTTTGAAAATTCTCCCAAGAAGGTTAAAACTGCATTAAGTGCAGTGACATCAACACCGGGACCAACAGCGACCATTCTCCCACCCAAATTTTCAGATGTGTCTGAAATATCTTCAGATCAAGACAAGGGGGGCAGGTAAATTAACAAGATTGGCAATTAGAATAAAATATTCTTTAAAATTTGAGTAGTATCTAGACCTTATATCACCATTCTTGAAAGATATATTTAATATTATGTTTCTACTTTAAGAAATTCAGATTTATCTGTGTAGAACAGTTTGTAAAAACTGATAAGAAAACAACAGCTCCAAGCAGTTTCTTGAATCCTTTAGAGTAAGTACAATTATTTAAATCATAGGTATAATATAAAAATTATTTCCATTATTAAGTTATAAGGTTTGATATGCATGCCATCAGAATACTTTTAAATAATATTTGTTATTACTGATTTATGTCATTGTATCTATTATATCAGAATAATTATCATAATCCATGTTGATCTTACAGAAATTTTGTTTTGCAGTCTCTCAATCTGCTTATCAGAAAACTACACCAACGAGGACTCAGAGGATTCATCAGATGAAGATTATGAGCCTAGTTTCATAATGACCATGAGGTATGTTTTGCACGGACACCTTGCGGCTATGCCAGTAAATTATTTAATTTATTTTCATATTTCAATATTTTAAATCTACTGACTAACATTAGAATTATTAATAAAATTTAATCCCTGTCATAAGAGAGGACACTCAGACTGAAGCCATGGTTGAGGACTCTGAAAATTAGGATAGCTGTGATGAGGAATCAAATGATGATCTTCGCCGGGTTTGCCTAAATTTTAACTCCAGAAGAGATTGAGGGCTGTAAGGAAGAGCGCCCTTTCCTTGTTTATCTTTCACAGCTTCACACATTAGCTGAATTACGTGTCCTACCAGATTGTCAGCTTAAAGGATGCCAAAAATCAGTGCATTTGGAGAAAACTGTTGTTAGATGGCACTCTATTTCAAATGGGTACGTACGAAAACTGCCTTGTAATCTCATGTTTTAATAAAATACCAAGGTACTATGAATTGGAAACAGATTAATAAATTATCATATGGTTTATTTATAGAATTGTTCTGATGGACATCAATCTCAGCAATGGTGCTCACAGCCTGTCCTAAACAGAGGAATGCATTTAGGGGATTTGACACTCTCCTCTTCCATACTTCTCTCTGGAAGCAATTTTCAGAAAGTGTCAATGATGGCTAAATTCATGCAACTACCTATTGTGAGCAAAAACTCATTTTATAAAATGCAGAGAACATACTTGATTCCAGCAGTGGATGACTTTTGGACAGAACACCAGGAAACTGTGTTTAACCAGTTTCAAGGAAGAGATCTTACAATACTTGGTAGATATCTTTTAAATTTCAAAACAGACTTTATGGGAAAAAACTTTATGAAAAAATGCTAAAACGTGTAGCATTATTGTCTTAATTTTAACATAAGAATATTTTTTCTTTTTTTCATTCGTGTTTATTTTTTTTAATTAAAGGAGATGGCAGAATGGATAGCCCTGGTCACACTGCTCAGTACTGTTCTTATACATTCATGGAGTATGACACCAAAACCATTCTGCATATAATCACTATGGACAAGCGAGTGACAGAGAAAAAAAGCACAAATCTGGAGAAAGATTGCTTTGTTCAGGGCTTGCGATATCTTCTGGACAAGGGACTTCATATTGTTGAAGTTGTTACAGATGCTCATGTACAAGTTGCTTCAGTAAGGAGTAAGTTCAAACAAAACAACCAATATATATGACTATATAATAAGTAAATCCTCTGTTAAAAAAGGCATACATGTACATACATACATGTAAATTTTTAAAAATGGTTCTTATATGTTAATTTTGCAGAAAAAGACTTCCCAGACATAAGACATTCTTTTGATATATGGCACGGGACAAAAACTTAGGCAAGAAAATCATCAAGGTAACCTTCAGTTCCGCATAGTTGTATACATGCAGTGTTATTTATATATAAATATTTAATCTTCGCTCAACAAACTATAGTTGCATAATCTTTTTATTATATATATATTTTTGTGCAGTGTGTTTATTCATATCTTCTAGGCAGGTCAGCAGAAATCCCAAAAAGCTATCCTGTCATGGACAAAAGATGTTGTCAACCATTACTGGTACACAGCTAGCATCTCAAACACAAAGGAGGAGTTTGTTGTAAGTTTCCATATACCAAAAAATATATGTAAACTTTGCAAAAGTGCTGCATGTGATTATATAAATTGGTCTAAAACGAATTTTACTTTTCAAGGGGAATTGGATAGGAATCCTCCATCACACAGTTAATGTTCACACATGGGTTTTACCCTATAGTGACATTAATGAATGCAACCATGGACCACTGACTGAAGAGAGAACAAAAGCGTGGTTAGAAAAGGATTCTCCAGCACATGTGGCTCTTCGGGAAATTGTGTTAGACAAACGTCTCCAGAGCAATGTGCCTTACTATCTTAACTGCAGGTCAGTTTTATATCAGAATCAATAAATTTAGATTCTTTTATTACATTGCTAAAGAACTACAGTATGTCTGATATATCATTTATACATTCTTGCTTTTTAGGAGCACAGCAGAACTTGAAAATTTCCAGAACGTAGTGAATGCGTATGCATCCAAGCGTCACTCCTACAACCCACCTACATATAGGTGCAGGAATCGACTTGCGGCCTTGGACCATAACCACCATATAAACAGAAACGTTCTTGTCAAGAAAGATGGAGTAACACAGTAAGCAATATATGAACACTGGCCAATATTTATTGTTGACTTCAACAGTGAGACAAAATAATATGAACAATAATACATAATGAACAAAATATTTTCCTTTCAGATATCAGAGGAGCTACAACAAAAAAGTGGAAGATGGGCAGTTCATCCTGTGAAAGAGAAGAAAAATTTTCCGTATATCCCGTCTTTGCAGGAGAAGACTCTATTGTCAAGAGTGACAGATGAAGTAGGGATGAACCAACCCGTGGTGCTGGAGGTAGATGATCCAAGAAGATTGTCATCTCATCTGGCTCCAATCCACCCCCTCCCACTGAACAGCTTGTTGTCGAGCAGAAGTCAAGGTTTCTACAACAAGAAAGAGACAATTGACATGTCTTGAACAATCATATCTCCATCTAAAATAAAACACTTTAGAATATAAAATTTTGTTGAGTCATTTTAAACTGTTTACATGTAGCTAGGAAAATGTTGTTAACTCACTTTATCCAAGTCGTCCTCCAATGAAGCCCCTATATTGTCCAAACGCATCTGGGAACTTGTCCCTTATTCACCATACACAACAACTGGAAATCACCCTTCTATTTCTTGCACCTAGATGACCATGATGCCAGAGGATAAATTGGCGGTAGGCTGCATGTCTGTTCCCTCTGTTGATATCTGCATCAGGGGCAGCTGCAAAAATGTCTTCACGGTAACGTCGGGCAACAACCAGTACAAGGTCATCAAGGACAACCCTTTGGAAATCCTAAAAATATAATTAATAATGAATAAAGAAGGATATGGAGATAACGAACAACATTCAATCTCAAAGTCCATAGAACAATACAAAACAAAAGCAGAGCAAACATGGACCTCCAAAACATCAGAGCTGGGATCAGGTGCCATGGAGGAATGAGCATCCCCTGCTGACCGGTCATACTGCCGTGTGCTCATTGTCATGATCGTGAAATAACGTCAATTCAGTGTATAATTAATATTGAATGTTATTATATACATTTAAATTTGTAAAATTTTAACTTTTTTTTTTCATTTGTATATCAGTAAATTGAATTTCTTACTGATACAATTGAGTAGCAGTTTAATGGAGTCTGTCCACAACAGAGTTTTTCAATTTCGGATGGCATCTCTCTGCAGTGGTTGCAGGTACACCAGCTTGGTATGCCATCTGACGGTTGTGGGTGGTACCCTTGCCTCCTTTCATTTTGGGAAGCCTCATTCAAAATGTCAACGACAAATGTTGGGTCCCTGTTACATATAGCTTGAACAAGGTTCCTCGTTATCCTCCTCAAGATTAGATATGGTTTCCTAGAATGATTATACTTTTATAATAAATAATTCATATATACATGAATATGTGAATTAACAGGCCATAAATGAGTTGTATATATACCTTGTATATGCATGAATGAAGGTTATTTTGACTAATTAACTTGTACAATTTTACCCTAAGATGAGCATCTCGCTGCTCCCTTTCAGCTGCAAGTCTTTCAGCAACAGTTTCTTCGGCGATTCTTCTGCGGGCACCTACTCCTCTTCCACCTCGCCCACCTCTTGTCCTAACTCCCCTCGGGCGTCTTCCTCTCCCACGCCCTCTGCCTCTTCCTCTCCCACGCCCTCTGCCTCTTCCTCTCCCACGCCCTCTGCCTCTTCCCCTCCCCTTCCCAAATCTGAAGAGGATGAGGATTCTGGGGATGAAGACTGTCTTGATAAATTGATATTCTATAATAAAAATTATACATTTGTATTATTCATTCCATAATAAAAATTTTTATTCATAAAAATAACATACATGTTCATGAAATCAATACCTATCAAAAACGCATGATCTTCAATTACTTAATATTTTAAACATTAAAAATATGTCAAAATCTCCATAATTGCAATTATTTTAATTCAGTTTTGTTAACATAGGTAAGTAGTATAAGCCGTCTAGATGGGTGGGTCACCTGCGTGCTCGTTGGGGGCTGGGGGGGATTGGTGGGTCAACGGAGTGCAGCCCCTGTGGGGGATAGGTGGGTCAACAGAGTGCAGCCCCTGGGGGATAGGTGGATCAACAGAGTGCAGCCCCTGGAGGGGATAGCCGGATCAATTCATTACATATAGCCCCCTAAATACGGGGGTGTTTACACTGTGTTTACATTTTACACTACGCTGCTACTACGATTCATAACGCTGCTACTACGATTTTGGCAGCGACTCAACAATTTGATTATGACGTCACGCATTCATTCACAGTCAAAAGCTCAGCCTAGCCAGCCAGCCGGTTTAAACTGGATTTTCCTCAAAACAATAACAAATAACAAGACAAAACAAAGAACACAGCAATTTTATTCAGGTAAAAAAAAAATACATTCATTTACTTTTTCTTCTTCTGGGCCTTTTCGGTCATCAGGGATAGTTTTCTCTTTTGAGTAGTGCTAGGGCCTGGAATCTCTCTGTTGTCTTCCTTTTTCTCTTTTTTTTTGTCTCCTTCTTTCACTAAAGGTTTGGTCTGGTGGGTCCCTGAGATCTTGGGTTCTTGAGGCTTTTTCTCCAGTTTTTGTATTTCTTTGACAAATTGTTGATCCTCCTCATCCTCTGTACACTGATTAGCCCAATGGCCAAATTTCCCGCACTTGTAACACAAATCTTTTTTGGGGCAATCTGGGGCCCAATGCCCTAATTCTTTGCAGATGAAGCATGGATGTCTGTCTAGTTTTCTT